TTTGTATGAACACATCCTGGAAAGTGGCATGGGCTGTGTAATCGAAACGAACTGTGTTCAGTCCTTTTTTGGATGACCCATACTTCAAGGTATCAGCATCACTCTGTAGAGCTTACAGAAATGCACACAGTAGCAAACCCCGAACCAAACCCTCCAATTCATCTTCCTATGATGCGCCAAAGTGAGGACCAAGAACTGATATTTTAAATAGTCACTACTAGTGGCTGGATATTTTTCATTATAGCAGAAATAGCTGTTATGAGCCGAGTTCCTCAGGAAATAAGCTGTGAGAAAGAGATTCAAGGACAGGAAGTTTCTTGAGGAATACTCTCTTAGGAGATCAAAAGAGGCAGATTGAATGGGGGAGAAGTTGAACTGTGATGCACTCGCAAGAAAAGCTCAGTTGATCCCACAGGGAGCTGGAACATTCCTTTATGTTCATCCCAAATGGAAGCAAAAGGGCTGGATTAAAATAACTATGTACTGAAGTGAGGTGAGGACTTCATTCATTGGGTGAGGACTCCCCCCAAGGAATGGATGGCTACCATTACCTGCAGCAGCTGGGAAATGAGTGCTTTAGTCAGAAAGAGGGTCAAAACACAGCACCCACCACAGACACCTTTTGTACCTCTGATTCATTTTTGTATCTTTGATTCATTTGCCTTATACATTAAGTATACATTTTACATTAAATTTTGAGAGCTTTTTCTTGTTGGATCAGAACCAAATAAATGGATAGAACACTGAAGACCATGGCACTGATTTTACATTGTTCATCCTTAAACATCACATATTTAGTATCACAAATATATTGAGTCTACCTGCTTCAGTTATTGAACAGAGAGAACATAATAATCAAACAGAATAATCTCTTAAAATACAAAACCACCACTATGGTAATTGAAACAAAATTCTAGTTTTTTTTTTAACAAGCTCAGATTTTTATTAGACTTAACAAACATAAAGTTGTATTTTAATATATAACTGGAACAACCAAAACAGAGGTGAATAAAAGAATTACCAAATCTATAGTCACAGTTCATGTGTGTCTACATATTGTTGATAAAGAGAATTGCTATCATATTAATAAAATTTGTCATTTGACAACTATAACTACACAAGAAGTTATCTGTGAAACAGTGATTCCATATATTAAATGACTATATTTAAACTTTGAAAGAACACTATATACAGTGTTAAATAAATTTAAAATTGCTAATGTGCCAAACATTTGGCTCTTGCTTGTTAACTTTCTAAGTTGGTTTGGCGATAATGCTATTTCCAGGGAAGTTCCTATGTTTAGTTTTAGTAGTGCATAAAGTAGGGACATCAGTCTGCTAGATGCATGTTGACAGCCTTTTGAGAAGCAATGTAAACCAAGTTCAGAAAATTTAGAATATTTTTTTAACTTTCATCCAAAATTATGTGTCGCTGTATCTTGACAATTAACCTCCATGATTCTGTCAGTAACCACTTCCAAAAATTTTTCTATAAAATACTAGTCATATCTAAATTACCTTCTGATGCAAGACAATTCAATATAAAGCCAGGAAAACAATACAGGAGCAAAATGAGATATTTGCCAAAGAGATAGAATTCATTAAAAAAAAAAAAACTAAACAGAAATTCTAGAACTGAAGGATTCAATAAATGAAATGAAAATTATAATAAAAAGCATGTGCAGCAGCAGTCTGCAAACAGAAGACTGAGTGATCTAGAGGTCAGGAATTCTGAAAAGCCCAGTCAGCAGAGAACAAAATATAAAGAAGGAAAGAAAGTAAAGAAAGTCTATGTGGTCTGTGGGATTCCAACAAAAGAACAAATGTTAGAGTAATCAGGATTCCAGAAGAACATGAAAGGGAGAAAGGGGCAGAAAGTTTATTTAAAAAAACATTAGCTGAGGACTTCCCAAAACCTGGGAAAGACTGATAGATCACCTTATTAGCCCTTGCAAAAAGAATGGATCCAAGGTGCATTATAATGAAACTGTCAAAATCAAAGATAAAGAGAGAATATGGAAAGCAACTGGTGGGCGAGGTGTGTGGGGACCATTTATAACCTATAAGAAACCCCCATTAGGCTAACAGCACATTTTTCAACACTCTATAGGCCAGGAGAGAGTGGAATGTCATATTCAAAGGGTTGAAAGAAAAAAATTAACCAGCCAAGAATACTCTATCCAAAGTTATCCTTCCCATATGAAGGAGAAATAAAAGGTTCTCCCAGACAAAGCTGAGAGATTTCATCACCACTAGACTTGTCTTGCACAAAAGGCTGAAAGGAGTTCTTCAAGCTTAAATGAAAAGACACTAATTAGCAACATGAAAACATATGACAGCATATAGCACACTCATAAAGATATATATATAGAGAGAGATACAGATAGATAGATAGTCAGATTTAGGAAACTCTAATTCTGTAATAGGGTGATGTGTTAACCACTTAACTATACCATAAAGGTTAAAGGAAATGAGTATTGAAAGTAACTATAGCTACTATAATTTTTTTAAGGAATACACAATATAAAAAGAGGTAAATTGTGACATCAAAAATATAAAAAGGGGGAAGTAAAAGGGGGAAACTTACAATCAAAGAGAAGTTGCTCTTAGCTTAAAATGACTAATCAACAGTAAAGTGCAGGATGTAAAATCAACGTATAGAAATTAATTGTGTTTCTAAACACTAACAATGAAACATCTGAAAAAGAAGTAAACTATCCCATTCACAGTGGCATCAAAAATAATCAAATACTTAGGAATACACTTACCAAAGACATGAAAGATTGGTACAGTGAGAATTACAAGAATTTTATGAAAGAAGTTGAAAACAAAACAAACTAGTGGAAAGATATCCCATGTTCATGGATTAGAAGAATTCATGTTGTTAAAATGTCCATACTTTCTAAAACCATCTATAGATTCAACACAACCCCTTAAAATCCCAATGGCATTTTTCATAGAAATAGAAAAACAATCCTAAAATTTGTATAGAACCACAAAAGACACCAAACAGATAAAGCAATTGTGAGAAAGAAGAACAAAGTCAGACATCACACTTTCTGATTTGAAACTATACTACAAAGCTATTGTAGTTAAAACAGTGTGGCACTGGCACAAAAATACACATGTAGACCAAAGGACCAGAATAGACAGCCCAGAAATAAACCCTCACATCCTCAATCAACTAATATTTGACAAGGAAGCCAAAAATCTCGATGGGGAAAGAATAGTATCTTCCACAAATGGTGCTGGGAATGCTGGATAACCACATGCAGAAAAATTAATTTAGGCTTCTATCTTATATCACTCACAAAAGTTAACTCATAAAATATTAAAAACTTTAACATAAGATCTGACACCATAAACTCCTGGGAGAAAACATAGGGAAGAAGCTTCTTGATATTGGTCTTGGCAATGAATGACTTTTTTGGATATGACCTTAAAAACATAGACAACAAAAGCAAAAATCAACAACTGGCACTACATTATGCTAAGTGGGGTAAGTCAGAAAGAAAGACAAACACTATCGAGTCAAAAAAAAAAATGAACTCATATAAACAGAGAGTAGAGAGCCAGTTGCCAGGGGCTGTGGGTTGGGGTTTTGGGGAGATGTTGTTGAGGGTTACAAAGTTGCAATCAGAAAATAAATAAGTCCTGGATATCTAATGGTGATCATGGACAACAATACTGTATTATAAACGTCCAAGTTACTAAGAGATTACATCTTTATTATTTCCACCACAAAAAAGAGACGATAATTCTGTGACGTGATAAAGGTGTTAGCTAATGCTGTGGTGCTAATCATATTGCAACATATAAATGATCAAATCAACATGCTGTATGCCTTAAATTTACACAATGTTCTATGTTTTTCATATCTCAATAAACATTTTAAAAATTTCTAAAGTGAGAACACGCCGAGTACTTGTTTTGTAGATAGCAAGGCTGAGATCAGCAATTTGTGTAAAACCGATTGCATTTCCAAGCACTGTAATGACAACCATCTTACTTATTTATTCAAAGAGGCCTGAAAAGAATGTGAAAATGGCCTAACTGGTTTATATGAAAATGAATGGAAGGAAAGGAGGCATAGGGACAGTATTGTTGAAAAAGAGGACCCAGGAGCCGGAGGGCACACACTTTCTAATCACTGAAGCCTGGATTATCAGGTGCAGATTGCCACATTCTAACAAGGGGATTCATCTTATAATCAGTTTGTAATCTGTCATCCCACCATGTCCCAGGGAACTATAATTTATTCCCAGGCGAGGCATCTGTACTGGTCATGGTAGTCTTGGGGGCAAGAGCTTCTCTGTGATGTGAGGGAAGGAAAGACTTTAGGCCTGTTCAGGGCCATCAGGAGGCCTGGATCTATGAGGCTTTCATGCACCAAAAAGAAATGGAAGGAGAGGACAGCCCACCCCATGAAGCCAACAGTATGTCCCTTTGTTGTTCATCTCACCTTTTTTTCATTTACCTGAGAACTTTTCATCCTTCTAATCCCAATTTTGTCGTTTGCTGATTTTTGTTCTCACTGTTAGATATTTCTTCATTTCTTTGCAGCCACAACATGTTGGTCACTTGACACTGGAGACCTAAGCTCAATTTTGAAAAAACTCATCTTTTCTTGGGCCGGTGGGGTGGTAGAACCGACCCAGAAACAGTGCATCTGGCTGATCCCACCAGCTGAACTGAACCAGCCAATGAGCTGGATCCCTGGGGTGGAGAAAAGAAAGCCTTATACATACATAGCTTTTTAAAATACAGCTCTTCTGTATCAGCTTTAAGGACAGAATGACACCTGACGTCAGAAAACCTTGTATCTCATATAAGGAGATATTTAAGATTCAGCATCTAATTGGTGTTCGAACTTCAGAAAGTTTCCTTTTATATAGTATCTGATGGCAGGGAAGATGTTAAACAGGGTTTCTATTGGCTCCGAAGATGGTAGTGTCAGGGGATTGGACTACATAATCCCCTTCCTGCTGGAAGAGCCCCCATTAACGGCCCAGAGGACTCCTTGTGTGGTCTGAGGAGACTGAGGCTGTTACCCGAAGACGTGAGGATCAGCATGACCATGAACCGGCACGGCTTTCTCCAAGGACTTGTCTTTCTCCTCTTCAGTGTCCTATCGAGTGCTCAAGGTAAGCGTTCGTAAGACCAGCAGAGATGCTGAGTTAGCTGTAAGAAGCCGGGCGAATGACCTCTGGGGCTGCCTAGACTGCACTTCTCTGTTGACCATTTGGTTTTGACCAGATGTGTTCCTTAGTGGCAGTGAATGGTAATTTTTCTCCTGTGGGGCTCTGTGTTTCAAGTTAAGCAGTAAGGTGTTTCAGACATACAAGGTTTGTTCTCAGACTGACCTGACTCTGTTTCAGCCCTCCCCCGACAACACCTAACAGCTTAGAAAATGTCGCTCACATCCCAGTTTTCCTGTAATGGATTATGGCGGAGGGACGGCCTCAGGCTGGGTCTCTGATCTGCCCTTCTGACATTCTATACTATGTTTCTCTCCACTAGTATTTTGGTATGTCTGGTCCTATGGACTTTGTGTGTGCATGTATGTATGCTTTGAGTGTACGTACACATATGTGTGTGCACGTGTGTATGCTTTGTATGTATATGTGTGCATGTGTGTCTGTGCATGCGTGTATGAGAGAGAGGAGGCAGTCAGGGAAGGGGAGTCTGAAGAGTACATGAAGACTAAATGTATAAACTGAAATATGTCTGCCCAGTGGAAGTCAATTTTTTACGTAGGAGTCTGTAGAATTCATACTCCCTAAGTAAGCCCGACTGCTAGATCTGGTGGTGGCAGTGGTAATGGTGGTGATTGTATGCATGTTTATGTGTGATGAGAGCAGATATGGAAACCTTTCTATAAAGAAAGCCCTCTCGATATAAACTATAATTACACTTCCAGATAACTGTGCACCTGCAGTCTAAGCCCAACTTTGAGTTTCTTTTTCTTCCCCACAAACCCACAGCTCAGACGTTTTTCTGCTTTTCTGAAGTCTTTCTCCAGCACTGGGTTCTTGGCAGAACTCTATTTCCTGCCTGTGATGTGTTCCCTTCCTGTCTCTTGGATCAATGGTCCTCCAACCCCACTGTGCAACAGAAAAAAACTAATGCCAAAAGTAGGTGCCATAAATGGACAGATATTAACATCGAAGGCAGGAGAGGGATTTAGCCTTAGAGACTTCAGGATGTGCCTCTCTTGGTCAACTTTTTCCCCTCCCCAGTGGGGAACTCAAGCTTGTTCTGTGACATCTCAAAGGATCAGCTACCCAGGAAGAATCCTGCGCTTGTGAATGCTCTTACAATGAATTTTCTCCCTTGTAATTCCCTCCAGACTCGGTACGAACCTTGGTCTCCATTGGACATCAGGGGAGTCCAAGTCATCACCTTTGAGCTCCCAAAGTTAGAATGATCTAGCCACATGCCTGAAAAGCCAGCTCTTCTAGATGTGGGCCTTGGTCCTGGCTGCCTTAGCAATCCTTCTCACCTTCTTTATTCTGTGTTCCCGCCTCATCTGAAGCCTCTCCAGTCAGATGTCTCTGTCTCTCTTCTTTAAGAAATCCTACTCCTCCCAACAGAAGCAAGAAGTTCTGCTCCTCGTTCCTTTGTTATATTTCTTCAAACTTCCAGTTCTTCGGGTTTGGGACATATTGTAAAGATGGTTGTCCTTTTTCAGGCTTTACAGGCTCTTACGGATAGAGGTGGACTCTCAAAATGAAATGTGAAATTGGTGCTCTGATTTCATTTTGGCCTCTCCAGCTATGAGAGCAATGAACAAATTTCTCTTTAGGCTAAGAAGAAGCCGTACCTCGCTCCAACAAACATGATGTTTCCTCCAAGAGAACTTTCTGTAGGTTCATCTTATTAAAGCACATACTCACATTCGCATGAGTTTGCCCCGTCTACTTGTCAATTTCAGCCTTGGCATCATGGTTCCAAAGAGCATTAAATATTTGCTGAGCCTGGCACATGTCACACAGTCACTGTAGCACAAGTCAGGATCTGCCAGCTCCCTTTCATTCTTTCTGAACACTGAAAAGCTTCTGCACCACTAAGGAAACATTAATAGAGTGAAAAGGGAATCTATAGCAAATCACACATATGATAAAGGATTAATTTCCAAAATATATAAGAAACTCCTACAGCTAGAGAGCAAAAACAAAAACGAACAACAACAACAACAACAACAACAACAAAAACCCCTAATAACCCAATTTAAAAATTGGCTAAGGACTTGCATAGAGACTTCTCCAAAGAAGACATACAAATGGCCAGCAGATACATGAAAAGGTGCCCAGTATCACTAATCATCAGGGAAATGTAAATCAAAACCATAATGAGATATCACCTCACGCATGCCGGAATGGCTATTATTTAAAAAAAAACAAGGGTTGGCAAGGTGGTGGAGAAATTGGAACTCTTCTGGATATTTCTCCACATTAAATGTATAAATCTTATCTCAATAAAATTATTACCAAAAAATCTATATGATTTATAATGATGTCTCTTTTCATTCTTGGTGTTGTTAACTTCATTTTCTCTCTGTTCTTGATTAGTATTGTTTGATGTTTATCAATTTCCAGTGAGCCATATTGAAAAGGTTTTTTCTCTATATCCTCTACCTTATGTTCACCTTCCTTTTCATTAAATTTTGCTGTTGTCTTTAATAATTCCACCTTCTACGTCCTTTGGGGTTTATTTTCTCGTCTCCTAGTTTCTTAAATAGAAGCTTACACTTCTTCATTTTCTAAATCTACAGTATAAATTTCTCTTAGGCACTACTTCAATTGCATTAGGAGAATTTAGTTATAATATATCTTTATTATCATTATTTTATAGTATTTTCTAATTATTTTAAATTTATTCCCAGACCCAGGTATTTTTTGGAAGGGTGTTGCTTAAAAATTTCCCCAAATGGGGATTGCTAACTATATTTTCTTATTATTAACTTAATTTCACAGTGGTCAGAGTAAATATGCTGTATGAATTCAATTATCTGAAAGTTTTTGTCCTATCATGTGGTCATTTTCGATAAATGTTTGTATGTTTACAATAATGTAAACGCTCTCTTTGTTGGGTACATTGTTCTACGTATGTTGCTTAGTTAAACGTGTTGGTTGTGCTGTTTTACATTTGCTGTGTTCTTCCTCCTTTTTTGCATGCTTGGTCTGCATGCTATTGGAACAGGTATGTTAAAGCTCCCCCATTTTGATTGTGATTGTGTCTATTTCTTCTTTTCATTCTGTCAGGTGTTATTTTATATTTTGAAGCTAGGTTTTGAAATCTTTCTTGGATTTTGATATCTATAATGTCTTTATTAAGGCCTTATCCCATTATAATCATGAACATTCCCCCTTTAACTCAGTTAGTGTATCTTGCCTTAAAGTCTACTTTCTGTGACATTGACAGAGCCACTCCCGTTTTCTCATGGTTAGTGTTTACATGGTACATGCCTTTTCCCATCATTTTACTTTTGAACTTTCTTTGCCTTCATACATAAGGTGAGCATCTTGCAAGGAGCATTTACATGAATTTTGTTGTTTTATCTTGATTGGCTTTTATTTGAATCTAATCCATTTACTGTAAAAGCAATTACTGGTGTTATTGGGTGAGTATCTACCATCTGCTTTTAATTGACCCACCTGCTTTATGGTCCTTTCTCTCTCCTTTTCTGTCTTCTTCTGTATAAACAAATCTGCTATTATTCCAGATTTTCCTTTTTTCCCTTTGATTTTCAGCAGCTTTACTAGGTGCAGAGGTTTTCATACCCTTCTACCCATTTAAAAAAATTCTCAACCATTACATCGTTAAGTATTACTTCTGCTGCTCTGTCTCTGTTTCTGTCCTTCTTCTCCTCCTCCTTCTCTTCCTCCTCCTATTCCTCCTCCTTCTCGTCTCTCATCTCTAGGACTCCTCCAAGTCACTAATTCTAGGTTGAGTTCTATCTAAAATTCTTTTAAGCCTATCCATTCAATTCTTAATCCCAGACATTTTATTTTCAGTTGGCAACTGTTCCTTTGGTGTTTCTTGTATACTTACAGCTCTTTGGTTTTTTTAATCTTTCACTTGTTTATTCTCTCTTTCCTCTTTTTTCCTAAATACATTGGTTACAGTTAAACTCCCTATTTGCTAACTCCAATATTTGCATCATGTGTGTTTCTGCCTTCTCTTATCTTCTTTTATCTGCTTTGTTAATCTGTCATGCCATCCCATCTCTTCACATGCCATGTAATCTTTTATTGAATGCTAGAAATTACATATGAACAAATAAGATACTCCAGATATATTTTCTAATGCCTAGAAGGACTCATCTTAGGCGGGTGGGAGAAGAGTTGCAGATGACCCAAATATCTGCACACAACGTAGGCCTGAGTTGTAACAAGTCTGGGCTGCAGTTTGGTGACACTCTGTCTGATCGCCCTCTGTTCCCATGGCCTGTCAGGGATTTCAGCTGAGAGCCTGGGTGTTTTGGTAGCTCAGTACCCAAGAGTTGAGGGAATATCCACTCTGCTTTCCAAGATTTTTGACATGGCTCTTTGGCCTCCTGCCCTTCACAGCTTGCATACTGGGCAAATATTTGAGGGGAAAACCTGCTATGTGAGAGAGGCCCTCAAGTCTCCAATTTTGTCACTCCAGCACCAGGGAACCCCGAAAGTTACGCTGGCTTCTCTGCTCCAACAAGAGTCCTCTGCTTGCCTGAGCACAGATTCTGAGCTATTAACCCATGCCCCAAAGTGGGAAGTTCCCACAGAGAAAAGGAAGCTGTAAATCCTTGGCTGACATTAAAATGATCTCCACTCTTTAGAATTTCAGTATGTTTGGTCCATATTGTGTCCATAAAAGTCTAACATCTTTACTTTTTTTTTTTTTTTTTTACATTTTCCAGCTTTTTTGTTGTTGTTGTATCCAGCAGGACCACTGGCCTGCCGTGAACGCCTCCATTCTTCATGGAAGTAGAAAATTTTAGGTTTTATTTTCTACTCATTATTTACTCAAAGTGCGACATTGCTGGACGTTATTTAACCTTTCTTTAAATCACTCTTTATGTATAAAGGCGAGAGTAATAGAGTGAGTCTGTCAGAACTGTTTGTACAAGTGCCTCGAAATACATGATGTTTTTCCCCTAGAAAACAAATAACTCCAAATTTTGAATAATAGTGATTCCTGACATGAAATCCAAATCGAGATCATACTGACTTGGGAGAAGAAGCAACAGTCTATGATTCCCAGTGGAATCTGGCCAATGTCGATCAGTATGATTTTACATCAGATCTCATGCAAGGTCACCCAATATACTCAAAGAGATTACGTATTTTGAAACTAAGCATCCAGATCCAGAGTCTGAAGCCTAGAATCATAAGAGAAGTACTCTGGGGTAAACCAAAGCGTCTCGTGGTCCATTCATGTCTCAGTTCTGAGTGACGATGCCAAGAAGAACAATTCTAGTTGGTAGACGGTCACACCTGCTACCTGAGGCTCCTGATGAGGCCAGTTCCTCACTCTATTCCGTTTAATCCGATCCCTTTAACTTTCAGGGCAGTGGCATCAAAGTGTGTGTGGTTTACAAGAAACCCATCTAGCTGCCAGCTCACTCCTGTGACTCTGAACCCATTTATTTGCTCAGAGTAGAGAGACTAACATTTCCTGTCTATCTTTCTCAGATGCTATGCAGAACTCTGCAAATCAGAAGGTTAACACTGATAGGCCCTGTGTAACATGGCTTGTCTGGTACTACTCTCTAGATTATTCTTAACTCAACATTTCTTGTGGGTTTTCCCGACAATTTTCAACTGTATTATTCTCTTGTCACTGCTGTAAGAAACAAGACCCAGGTCCTGCCCGATTCGATGACTCCATGTCTGAGCCAGCAGGCTCTGCGACCTCAGAGGAGAGTTCCGCCAACTGCTTAGGTGAGGGGTCCTATAAGGAAGATCCTTCTCCATCTCTGTGTAAACGCCTCACTGGCACGACCCTCTCTCCTCAGATGAACAACTCCGCCTGGTGGACGGGGACGGCCGCTGCACAGGCAGAGTGGAGATCCTCCACCAGGGCTCCTGGGGCACCATCTGTGATGACTTCTGGGAACTGATCGATGCCCATGTGGTGTGCAGACAGATGGGCTGTGGACAAGCCCTCGATGCCTTGGCCTTGGCTCGATTCGGGGAGGGATCAGGGCCCATCTGGCTGGATGATGTGAACTGCACGGGAAAGGAGTCCCACGTGTGGAAGTGCCCTTCTAAGGGCTGGGGGGAGAATAACTGCGATCATACAGAGGATGCAGGAGTCATCTGCTCAGGTATGGTCAGTGCGTTGTCCACTGGTTGAGAGGATGGAAAGTTCCAAGAAAGCTGGTGTCTAATCACCCGGGCAATCGGAGATGGATGGGCTAGAGAGGTCTCAGACATCTCCCCATGCTCCCTGAGTGCACAGAGTATCTGTGAATGATGGCTTCATTTACTTTCCTCTTAAAAGTCTCTCCTATTCTTTTCTTCTCCAATGGTCTTACCTGACATAGTTTAATCTATTGACCTACTTAAGATTAATCTTCATAATTTTTTTATATTTCATTTTTTGAAAGAGTGAAACCTTTGCAACTCACTACACATACACACTCCCTTTGCACGGTGAGCCTGTCGGAGGGAGGGGCAAGAATGTAGATGCACTTTCTGTGGTCGAGTTGTTTCTGTATGAATAGTGCGAGACACTATTTTGCACTAGGTTAGTGGCTGTGGGGGCAGAGGGGATATTATTAAACAAATTAGAGAGAAATTTGTGGCCAATATGTGCCAAATTTCAAGTCTCCTTTGCAAATTTAGACATAAACATTCATAGCTCTTGGGCAGGTAGGAGCAGAGAACTGTGGATGAGATGTTCTGAGTCACAGGTTCCCCTTCTATTGTTACTAGAGAAGACTCTCTCTCCATTTTTTTCTTTTAAGACATCTGTATAAACTCAAACTTTGGAGGTACACTTAGCCATGCACTGACAAGCTAGTGGTGGAGGCAATGAAATATTAATGGCACCCAGTAAGTGGGTGTTATCTGTGGTGAGCCCAGATTTACTTCAGATGACAACATCTGTCAACTGACTGGATCATTTAAACTTCACGTTTCACTAAACACCAGTCCTGCAGGGATATTACAATGTCCTTACCAAATCGTAGACCAATGAAAAGATTACTGTCACGTCATAGAGGCGAATGACTTTAGTCAACATGGAAAAGTGGGGTCATGTGAGATGGCACGCAGAAAAATTTTATGTCAGTGAGAAAGCCCTAGAATGAATCTTCTTCACAATCAACTCTATTTTTCACACAACATCTGTATTCATTATTTTCTCCCAAAGTCTTATGCTACACTTCTGATACGCATATATTTAACTACATAAAATTTAGTTTGGAGATTGATAGCAAGTAAAGATTTGATTTGATTGTTTTTAAAAGTTTTCCAGCACTATTTTTTGAATAATCTATCTTTTCTAATGATTTAAAATATTACCTTCCTTGGGGGATGATATATGTCAGTGGTAGAGGGCATGCTTAGCATGCATGAGGTCCTGAGTTCAGTCCCCAGTGTCCCTTCTAAAAGTAAATAAATGAATAAACCTAATTACCCCTTCAAGAAAAAAGGCAATAAAATTTTTAAAACTAAAATAAACTATTACCCTCCTCCAATACGATATTTCTACATATGTGTGTACGTGTGTCTTTGAGTCTATGAGATATTTATATTCTGCCCCAACCACTCTAGTTTATTGTTACACAAGAACATAACTGGTGTTATTACATTTAATACTTTATCCCCTTATCACATCAGCCTTCTATTTCATAAATTTTCTTGCAGTTTTCACACACTCATTCTTCCACGTAAATTCTAAAATCAAGTAGAAAATAAAAAAGAAATAGTAATTTGTCTCAGAAGACTCTACCCTGATGTATATAAGACTTTATTGATAATTCAAAACATATTTGGGTATCTAACATGTGTCAGGCTACATAAAACAGTATACAAGAAATATTTCTTGCTCATCATTTCTAAATTTGTAATCTCACGGAATTTATCTGTTACATAAAAAAATGCTTTAATTAGAATGAGTAGTTTATGACCAAACTCCCAACCAAACCAGAATAAAGGTCCCAGCCTGAGCCTCTCTGGGGAGAGGGAAATGGACAAATAATAAAGGACAAGCATGTTTTCTCTCACATTCGTTCCTGTATAAGTGGTCAAGCCACTCCTTCAGTTGTTTAATTTCTGTGGTGTCCTTGCTGCTCTCCCCCACTCTCTGTAGTGGGATGTTTATCCTGTTAGGACATTCCTTCTGAAACTCCATAACATATGCTTCAAAGTTCACATTCTTATGTAATCGGAGTCCTTTACCAGAAAGAAGTCCACCGTGCACATAAACAACCATGAACACACTCAAAAGCCAGGCAAGCGTATTAAAATTGTTCTTTATGATTTGGGGGTCTTAATATTTTTCTTTGGATTATTTTCTCTCTATCTAAAATATGGTCCCTGGAGGACCAAATCACGATCATGAGCCTTTTCTTTGGTCTCCCTCTTTCAATTTCATACTCCATCCACTTCCAACGTAACCTCCCACACACCCTCTCATACTCCACTGCTACAGAAGCCCTTCCCTTTTGGAGTCTCCTTTCCATGCATTTAAAGTTCTTAAGATTGTTTTTTCTTTCTGCAGTGGGAGAAACGGGAAAAGGTAACAGGGTTAGGTGGCAGATGGGAGGAGCACAGGGGACAAAATGTGCTAAAAGCTTTTTGGACAAGTATTTTTCCCAAAGTCTTTCTATCTTTCAACCATATTGAGGTTTTTGCAATTTGAAAGTCTCCAATTTATGTATGGCTTGTTTGCTTTCTGCGTTCTTCCTCTCAATTTCCTTTTATATATCATGCTGGCTTCTTGTCTTAAGAATCCAAATAGGAAAGGAATACACAGTTGGCATATAGATAGGATTAAAATACATCAATTACCATCATTCTCTAGTATTTGCTAAGATTCTCGTGTCTTGGAAGGAAAATCCCTACTGTGAAGTAATCAGCAATCTGAGCTGTCGCATATACCCCACTGAGAGCTCACTCCCACCTTCACCAATAAATCCTAGGCTTTTAGGAACAATGACTGGGATCAGCCCCTCCCTCTCTTACGACTCTCTGAGCTTCCTTAATATCCAAACTCATCTGTGGACAACTTCTTTCACAATCAGGTCACCCAAGAAATTCTTGGAATTCTTCACCATCAAAAATTATGAGAAAAATATGAAATCATAAAGGTAGATATGTTATAATATCAATATTTCTACCCTTGAGCCATTAGTCTACAGTTTGGCTTGCATTCACGGATCCAGCCCTCATGATTTTTCCTACCTTCGGTGAGTTGCGTATTGGCTTCCGAGAAAAAACTGGCCATAATTCAAGCCCCCAAAGCCTCAGGATGGCCTTCTTACCTTGTCTGGCTCATAGGCTTCTAACCTCTTGAATCCCCATGGACTTTTTTCACTCTGGGTTAGTTCGGCTCTGCACCCAAGTCTGAATGCCCACTACCGTGCAGCTTCCTTGGGCCCTGTAGTTTCCAGGCCCCGACTTAAGGAATTCACATTTCTAACCAATCTCAAGATACACATTCTTGGAAATCAACCATTCCACACAGATCCTGCAAATCCTTCTGAATTTCTCTTCAGAAATTTGCTCATGAAAATGCAGTTATAACACTGTCAAATTCTCTCCCCATGCCCCACTCCTGGAAAAGAAAAGCTTTCACCCCATTGCCTGTGACATGTTGTTTCTATTTGCCAAGCCAGGTTTATGAACATTCACTGAGTTTGTTTGCTTGTTTCTCTTAGGATTTGTGCGTCTGGTTGGAGGGCACGGACCCTGCTCAGGGCAAGTAGAAGTGCGTTCTGAAGAAGACTGGACTCCAGTGTCTGACGGGAACTTTACCTTCCTCACAGCCCAGGTCATCTGTGCAGATCTGGGCTGTGGCAAGGCTGTGTCTGTCCTGGGACACATGCCCTTCAGAAGGTCAGATGGCCGAGTCTGGGAGGAAGAGTTTGGGTGTACTGGGGAGGAGTCTGAGCTCTGGTCCTGCCCCA